CCTTTCTCTTTCTCCTTCCCCTTTCCCTTCTCTTTCCCCTCGAAACCCAGCAGGCTTGGGTTCCTTGCAAACCCACCCAGGCGCTGGGTTCCTTGCAAACCCAGGCGCTGGGTTCGCAAGGAACCCAAGTGTGCTAGGTTCACAAGGACGCTTGCTTGGGTTCGCGTTCCTTGCGAACTACGAACCCAACATCTGGGTTCGCGTTCCTTGCGAACCCAGGCACTGGGTTCGCAAGGAACCCAATCGTGCTGGGTTTGCAAGGAACCCAAGCGTGCTGGGTTTGCAAGGACGCTTGCTTGGGTTCGCGTTCCTTGTGAACTGCAAACCCAACGCCTGGGTTCGCAAGGAACCCAAGCGTGTTGGGTTCGCAAGGAACCCAAGCGTGTTGGGTTCGCAAGGAACCCAAGCGTGTTGGGTTCGCAAGGACGCTTGCCTGGGCTCACACCGAACCTAGCATGCCTAGGTTCGGTGGAACCCAGCACGCTTGGGTTTGGTTCCTTGCGAACCCAGCGCCTGGGTTCGCAAGGAACCCAAGTGTGCTGGGTTCGCAAGGAACCCAAGCGTGCTGGGTTCCTACAAACCCAGCACGGCTGGGTTCCTTGCGAACCTAGGTGCAAAAAATTAAAAAAATTGGTTGATTGTGATGAAATTGTTTTTTGGATTTTGTTGTTTGATTGTGATGAAAAATTGGTTGATGAAGATGAGGAAGGCAAGGTAAGGCAGTTGCTGGGTTCTTGTGCAGGTGTTGGGTTCGATTTTTCAATTCGAACCTACCAGTCGCTAGGCTTTTGCAGGTGTTGGGTTCGAAATCGAACCTAGCAGGCGGTGGGTTTCATTTCAAACCCAGCGGGTGCTAGGTTTGAGCAGCTGCTGGGTTCTTGCAAGTGAGGCTCTAGGTTTCGTTTCGAACTCAGTAGCTGTTGGGTCAAGTATCTATTGAGTTTAATCTGTTGATTTGTTTTGTTATTCTCAAATTTAATATTAAGAGTTAGGGTTTGCAGAAGGTTAAAGGAAAGGGAGAGGAAGAAGAAAGGGAAAAAGGAAAAACAAACGAAGAAAAAAAAAAAGGAATAAGAAATTTTTTAAGATTTTTTTCTTGCCATCTCATTTTTTTTGGCAATCTGTACATCCTAGGTGTCAAAATGCTTGTACATGTCATCGTTTTCCCGTCAAGTAACGAGACACGTAGGTTGATATTTGACGAAAGGACTAAATCGGGGTAAAAATAGTAAACAGTAGGGACCAAATCAGGGATTTTTTTAGTTTAGGGACCAAATCGGGGGTCCGTACAATAGTTCAGGGACCAAAAAGGAGTTTTAACCCAAAAAAAATCCTTCTATAATCCCTAAAGATTGAAATTTTGGCTCTTTTTTATTCTCTCTGTAAAGTTTTAGCTTCTATGGCTTATTAATGTTGGTGTAAATACTCCAAAAGGAAGGTGAATTAGAGTCTTCAAATTTTTCTTCCTTTTGCAATCACAAAATGAAAATCAAAGAAAGAGAGAAAAAAAAAAAAGCTTGCATAAAGGATTTATAAAGATTTGGTTCAACTACTTGGCACCTTATTTTCTAGTTTGACTTCACTCACCAAGGATTTCTTCAATACTCTCCAATAAGAAGAACAAGTACACAAAATGGGTTTTCTCACAATCTCACCTCTTTACAAAGTAAACCTAACAATCCTCACTACAAATCACTCTTGAAGAAAATAAATACACCCCAAGATATCTTCAAAGAATATAAGTAGAGGATTACCAGAAAAGATACTCAAAGATTAAATATACCAATCAAAGTACAACAAAATGAATGTTTGCAAGTGAGAGCTCAAGTAGTTAGTTGAATATCTTCAATGAAGTGTCTATGAGCTTCATAAATGTGTCCATCAACCTTATTTATCTTCTTTGGGTCGAAACTAACCATTTGGGCACATTAGAATGCATTAAATGCTTTACAGACTTCTTAGATTCAGAAAACTAGTTGTTACTGTTTAGTTAAGATTTGAATATAGATCTATCTTTAAAGTCTATATCTAAATCTTCAACTTGAGAGTCAATTGTTCAAGACATTTTGAGACTTAGGTTGATTTTTTTCAAGAAACATTACCTTTTAAAAAAATAAACATGTAGGATTTGCAATGTGGCATAATGCATAACATGGTAGAAAAACATGTACACATAGCTCTTGCTTAGCCCACCCAAAATATCTATGGGGCCCATTGTCTACAACAAAAAGAAAACATCTTCCTAACTTTCCCATTTGAACACTACCATTAGTAAAGCACAAAAACATCTCCCCACTTATCAAATTCTTTTCCTTCTTCCTTTTCTTCTTTCCCTTATCTCTCTTCTTCATTCCCTTAACGGTTGAACGCATAGATTTGGGTTCCTTGCCATCATGTGAGCTTTAGCAAGGACTCATATCTGGGCCCTCTCACCATCACATCCCTCATCATAGCCACAAGACAGCAAGTTAGATTCCTTTATGTTGATGCCATCATTGTATCACTGTTCATGCCATTTTTGTTTCATGAATATAATTGATGCTGGTCCTAAGTAATTTCTTGTGAAGATTACACTTCATTTTTTTCTTTATAATATATTATTATTATTATTATTATTATTATTTTGATCTAGAGTCCCCTCAAGAGTTTTGATCTGATGAGTTACATTCATGCAAAAAAAAAAAAAAAAAAGAGAAAATGGGAGATGTTGGATATCAATTGCTATACCTATGAATTCAAGAATGGGATTAAAGCAATGTTTGGTTTGAGAGGAATGAAAGAAGTGCAGTGGAGAGGTGGATTTTTTTACCAATGAAATTGCAATATTTAAAAGCATTATAATTTGATTGATTAGAAAACTTATCCCTCCTTTTCCCTCTCCTCTCCTTTAACCAAACATACTATAAGAGAAGAATATTCATCTCTATTTCCAAGAAAAAAACAAAAAATTGTTATGTATCAATTCATTGTGGATGTCTCACCGTTCTCACATTTCACCTCCCAATTTACTCATGCATTTTCATGCTCAATATAATGGTGAGTAACTCCCCCACTTTCTCTTGCATCTAATGGTGATTAACTCTTATTTAGGTGTTATTAACACACCACTTTCTAATGCAATTAGAATGGTGATAAAGGCTTACCTTGTAACCCCTCTATTAGTAAGTGATTAATCTTTGTAACCTCGCATTTAATGGATGTTTCTTTCTTGTAACCCCTAAAAACCATTAGCCCCTATATCTAGGGTTTGTACTCTTGCAAATGTAATGGTGAAGAAAAGAATAGAAATATCATATATCTTTGCATTGCCTCATTATGTCTCTCTAATTCTTTCTTCTTCATTTAATTGTTTCTTTCTTTATTTTACAACACATTATCATCACGAATTGTCTCTATAAGAATTGTTTCTTGGATTCTATTTGAGATAATGGATCAATAGAGGTAAAGATTCAAGTAGAGGTAAAGTTTTTGAGGTAAGATCTTGAGACAAAATTTTGTCTTTCAATCCCTTATTTCTAATTTGAATATTTTATAATGTTACAACAATTCTCTTGTTCATATTCTATTTTACAAAAGATTTGAGTTATTGCCCTTGATAAACTGGGCTCTAATTATTTGTCATGAACCCTTCATGTGAAAATTCATTTACCTGCAATGATCTTGAGGATTCATTTGTGGAAAAGGATAAAGTATCCCTTAAAGAAAAGAAATATTCTTGAAGAGAAAAAAAAGGGCATCCTTGAAGGTTTGTAATGAAATGATTTTTTTTTTTCATGATGAAGTTCGAAAGGGATTAAGAGATGAATATTTTTTTATCAATAATTCTTTGGAATTATGAAACTATTTGGAAGAAAGATGATCATCAAAAAGAAAATTGCAATCAATGGATGCATCTGTTGACAAAATGAAGGTAAGTAACTCATATATCCAAGCTTGAAATACCTCTGCTTGTGTTAATATCTATATTACAAAATTTGGTAAGAATATTAGCAAATGAGTATAATATATGCATGCTAACAGCGTGTTAGAGCTAAAATGAAATTGTTATAAGGATAAAAACCCAAGAATGAAGAGAAAGAATAAGTATAATATTAGTACTATTGAAATCATAAAACTTTTGCAAAGATCTTAAGGAAATAACCTAAGAAGAGGTTTAGGTACTTGAAAACAATAAGAATGTTGAAACTCTAGCAAATGATGAAATTTCTATAAGTTATGGTTCTCTCAAAAAAAAAAAAAGATGGAATTGAAATGGAATTGTTTTAAGAAATTTTTGAATATGCAATAGTGAAGGATATAGGCAATGAAAAAGAGGGTCTTGGACTAAATTTGTTGTTGAAAATTGTTGACAAAGAAACGATTGGCTAATATGAAAAGAAATGATCCAAATAGAATTAAAATCATGAGAATAACATAATTTTTTTGGATTGATATTCTAAACTTGCTACAAGTGGTATTTGTGAGAATGTATAATAAATACAAAGAAAAACTTGAAGCACAAAAATTTATGCAAAACCTAAATTTGGTCTTGAGAAGATATTTCTTTATGGTAAATTTTATTATGATCATATATTTCTTAGAAGTCTCTAAAGAAATGAATTTTATGGATGTTGCAACATCTAAATACATAATAATTATACTTATATGAAAGTCCTTGTAAGACATAAGAGGATTGTAGCTTAATATACCTAAAGCATATAGTGCCTAAAGCTCATACTCGAAGCTTAAAAATGAAGCTCCAAATGCTTGAAGTATGTAACTATAAACCAAGAACAATATTTTTAAATCAATCGATATAAAAGAATAACTGTGGTACAATTACGGTAGTGAATACTTTTTAAAAGAAGGGTATATCACATTATTCTATATATTTTTACTAAGAGGTTAAAAGTGAAACTTATGATTTTAATATCATTAGAACACTTGAAGAGTTTTGTCACGCCCCAAAACCCAATTTCGAGACGCGACAGACGTCGTGCACTTATGAGACGGGTCCCACAAATGCACAAGGCTCGGAACTTATCACACCACAATCTGATACCATCAAAATCTGAAGATCAAATCTTTAAAATTTACTCTGATATCATAAAATCTCCAAATACAAGATCATGATTCATATCTAAAATTTATATCCAATTACAATATGGCTAGCCTTCTAACTCGTTACTTCCCGTGGTTTCCCCGTCCTCGGTTTCACTTCCTGAAATGGTGGACAAGGAAAACTATGAGATAAACTCAGTAAGTAAATATGAAGTGCCCTTATTAAACTTAAAGCATGCTAACAAGTACAATAACGAAAAACAGATACGGGTACGGAAACGAAATAGATGTCTCTATAGGTCATGGCCAGCGTTTATAAACCTCCCACTGGCGGGCACACGATTTTCTAGTGTATAATCCCCACTAGCAGGGCCACTGAACGAACCGGCTCTATCACTAACATGTCGACATGTGCTAGCGTTTATAACCTCCCCCACTAGCAGGGTCACTAATAACATGACCACATCGAAGACAAAACAGGCAGAAGTTAACAGAAAAATCATAATTCACTATCACTTTCAAGTCATCAAAACAATTCACAATCACTTTCAAGTAGGCATGCTCAATTTAATGAAAAACATAAACATTTCACTTCAAATCAGTCATGCTCGTGTAAAACAGGTTTAGTCCTGCCACCACTTCAAAAACAAATCAAAACATGCTTTTAAAAACAGTACGAGCATTACCATAAATTTACTTACCTCACTCGCATAAGACCGAGCACTCAATCTTAGTGCTAACTGACAGAACGATTGGAAACCTAATCAAAATATTTCAAGAATTAATACCACTATCACAAATTCAAGGTAAACTCATCATTAGGATCATTCCTAATCACAATGCTATTTCCATAAATCTCCACATGATCAAATATCTCCAAAATCGTTCTCA